TTTCTAAGGCGGCAAGGTGGCTAGCGGTAGCAAGAGTGAATACGAGGAAGCGGTTCAATGCTGGCACCTTCAAAGACATGATGAAGTTTTCATGGTAGCTACCCTATGACCTGAACAATCGCGAGGTAGATGATAACCTCTTTGTGATCCAACTATTTTCCTCATAGACTGGAACCATGTCATGCATCAAGTAACTTGGACTTTCCGAGAGCTTCTAATGGTGATAGAGGTTATGCTAAGGGCAAACTAGGTGTAGTGAAGCTTGATCACACCCATGCATGGGCGCAGATTTATAACATTCTAGGTCTTCACCGGTTCCAAGCTATAACTGACAAGGATCTACGAGTAGAACTATGTGTGCATTAGAGTGTATATTGAGGTCATCGAACCGCTGGCCCTCTTTGCACCTCTTAATTTGAGCAAGTAAGAGAAGATTATTCTCCCCATAAAGTATGAAAATTTTGGATTCTTCTATGAAGTATGTGGGCATATAAACCATGAGTGTGGTGATGGTGTTCATGTATCATATGAAGTGGACCATGGTTAATGGATGATCGCAACAAGGACGGGGATGCCAATCAACCAAGGATTTGGTCAAGGAGCTCATTCAGCTTAGGAAGGAAGAGGAACGATATGTGACATGCGAGGAAGAGGGTGTGGTGTGCTTGCTCTCTCGTAAGAGTGGTTGGGTACCATCAAGTGTAAGGGTGAAGTAACCTAGCAATAATTATTTCCCTCGATTGAGAACCAAGGGTTATCGACCCCACAAGAGTTCTTCCAACAAACAAGGTCTTCGGTACCTGCACATAAAACAAAAAAATTCTTGCCCCCAACGTTTCAAGAAGTTTGTTAAGCTTCTTGTCCTGCTAGTTACAAGGGTAAATTGCACTGTATGGTATAGATAGATAAAATAAATAAAATGGTACAACAAGGTAAAGTATTTTTAGTGATGTTTTCAATAAAGGAAAATAGACCATTAGTGGCATCTCTCCAAGAAGATAAGTGTGGTGTGGTGAACAAATTAAAATTAGGCATTGATTAAATTGCAATATTTATATTTATTAATATTATCATTCATAGTATAATCTTGCCTAGGCATTATGTCAGTGGTATGTAGACCATTATCCAACTTCATCTACAACTAATGCTCCACCCAAGATAGATATCCATCATGCATCTCAAAGTATTAAATTCATGACAAACAAAGCATTGTAATAAGCATGATGACATAATGTAAACAGTAAAACCACCATACAGGAGTGATAAAGAAAACATCCTTTTATCATTAATAGCAACAATACAATACGTAAAGTCATTGGGGTAGATCACCACAAGATTAAATTCACTGTCATGCACAACTCTCTCTGGAGAACTACCTATCAATTGTTGCCATAGATGACAAATAAATCGAAAAGCATAGATGGCTACTTAATTATTCAGCAAAGAAACTTCATAAGATTCAATATAATTCAATGACCAAACTGATCATAAAGTGAAAATTCATCATATCTCAACAAACACAACCACCGATTAGATCATATTGATCACGGTCATGTGAGGCAGCTAATTAATTGAATCAGAAGGGAGAGAGGATGCCATCTAGCTACTGCTATGGACCCTAAGCTCCTAAGGAAGCTACTCAAGCATGGTCATGGTGGCAGCAAGGTCGATGAAGATGGCTTTGGTGATGGATTCCCTGTTCGGCGGGGTACCAGAACATGCATCCAGATTGAATCTCCCCGGAACATGAACTTGCTGTGGCGGGAAAAATCACGAGAAAATGGTACAAACGGTTTCTCGAATTATGGGATTTATAGGCGGAAGAAATGACGTAAGGCGGTGCACAGGGGGCCACACGGCAAAGCCACACGGGTGGTCCCCTGGCCGCTCCGCCAGACCACGTGGAGGCCAGGGTCCCCCCGGCCCATCCCGATAATTCTTGGTATCCTCTGGACTTGAAAAAAAAATCCCGGTGTTTTTGGAGGTCCGTAGATATGGATTTTTCTAGAAAATCAAAAACATGCAGACAAAGGCAACTAGCTCTGGGCACTGAATTAACAGGTTAGCCCGTAAAAAATGATAAAACTGCTATAAAAAGTATCCAAAAGTGGTATTATAATAACATGAAACAATCAAAAATTATAAATACATTTCAGATGTATCATGGTGCAGGTCGAGGTTGGAACACATATGTCCCAAGGAAGCGCGTGTCGGGTGGTGCAGGTCTCGAAGATGAGGATGAGGATCTTGATGACTCTCGGCTGCGAGGCCCTTGAAGCCACTAGCAAAAGAAGAGGAGGATAGGAACAATGGTGGGTGGTGGGACTGCAGCAAGGAAGAAGTTAGACCTCTCTGATGTGCATTTGAAAGAAGAGACTGCTACTACTTTGCGCGCGCGCGAGGGTGGGGGGATAGAGTTGAGGGGATTCAATTAATATAATATCAACTCATTGAAGGAAATTGAGGGCATGTTTAGTTTAATGAATATATTTCATTGAAAACCCTATCTGTTACGCATAGCCCTATCAGGTATTTTAGTGGGGGTGACGGAACCAAATGCATCAAAGAGCATGGTTGCCAGTTCATTACCAGTATGGGGAGGGAATGGTATTCCACTCGCCCCCGCGAGTGTATGTGTCACCGAAGGAACGTAAGAGAGCAAAGGAAGGGATTCCCGAGCAAGTCAGTTACATCAGAAGTTGAATTGGCCGGTGGCTTCCGTTGAGGAGGAACACCACGAGCAATGAATCCCCTATGTTGGAAATGTTGTGGGTTGGGCGATCCCGCAGGGTTCATGAGTTGCGCGACCTTGCATGAGATTGTGCATCGACGGTACTTTGTGTTGTGGAGACTCAGATGGTAAGGTATCATCTGGCCTTTTCCCAAAGGTGTGATCCTGAGTTATCGAATTCACGAGAGGATGTGCACTACAACAAAGACTCTAACAAGTCTTTGTTAACAAATTCAGTTGTCCAACCGTCCCTTATTATCTCGGTTAATAAGAATACATATTCATGCAAACGGTCCCTTATTATCTCGGTTAATGAGAAGAATATTCGGGCAAAAACGTTTGGGTGTTTAATGATTACACTGATCCTCAAGGATTGACTTTCCGCAACCATACTAAATCTTTCGGGAGAGAATTCCTTATTTGGCCCTTTCTTAAAATTTGGTTCCTTATTTGGTCCAAATAAAATTTTCTTCCCTATTTGATAGCAAAAGTAATTTTTGTTCCTTATATGACACTTTCGTATATTTTAAACACTAACGATGTTAAGTGTGAGATGAAAAGACCATGTTGCCCTTGTAATTTTTTTGTACCCTGATCATCATCAATACAAAGAAGAGGTTGCTACACAAACGCTACAGACCATGGCAGGGTACACACTCACGCATGCAAAGGGGTACAGAGCATGCACGCATGCACACATGCACATAGCACCCAACAAAGCCAGCACTCACGCATTTACGCAAACAGTTTCTGGGCACGGCGAGGAAAGTCACGCCGACATCTCTTCCGAGCTCCAGATTGCAGCACGCATGAGAGAAGAGGATCAACATTAGTCGCTACCCCTGTTCGTGCAGCCGCCGGCACCCCAGTAAGTCACACGCCGGCCATACGCACGAACAAGCAAGCACTTCAGGAGCCCTGCTAGCAAGCCACATGCACACGTTCCGCCAACCTCAGCAAATGCAGCGTACATATCCACTCTGTACCCGCATTCGTGAATGATGAACTAACCAAAATATTGGAGCATACATCCCTAAAACATGGATAAACTGATTGCCTTTTTCTTTTTACTATAGTCAGGATAGTCACACAATACAACAATGCACTAGGGGCAAAACGGTCTTTTCGCCTTACGCTTAACACCTTTAGTGTCTAAAATGGACGAAAGTGTCATATAAGGAACAAACATTACTTTAGGTGTCAAATAGAGAAGGAAATTTTATTTTGGGCCAAATAGGGAACCAAAGTTTAAGAAAGGGCCAAATAAGGAATTCTCTCATCTTTCGGTCACTTGTGTTCATAATAGCATTCGCTCCTTTCCTTCTTCTCGATCGATCTCCGGGATTCTGGGTACCCGCGGGGCTTTAGAATGATAAAGAGACAAGAGACAACTCTGTTGCAATCGAGCACATACATGACTATAAATATTCAAAGTCATTCCATCGATCCTTTGTACAAATACATCGGGTTGCAAGGCTATGCCTCAACCCATTGCCTTATCGAATTATCCACCATCTTGTTACTACCATAACTTAACTTTTTTGGGGTTTTCCTACAACATTCACCATTCGCAAATAGACTTTTTAATAAGACTAGGAGACTGCCCTTGCGTTGCTGCTGGCCAAAAATGAATATGTAAGCAATGCTCATTTTAAACCTGTTGGAGCGGTAGCACCACATTGGGTGCGCCTGATACTTTCGCCCAAAACACTGCGTAACACTACAAAGAGTGCATGCCTCGTGCTGAATTTAGTCCGTGGAGAAAAACTGAACGCTTACTGAACCAAATGGAACCCAATATCTAAGATGTCATTCTTGTTCCAAGCAAGCAACCAGTGCTGCTTGTGTAACTGGTCTATACAAAGAATAACCGTATCACTTCATGGTACCAGAATATGCAAAGTTGCAAACCATATTCATACTACCAGAATCTTCTTCAAGTATAAGAGAAATCATTTGCAAGACTGTGCATGTATAAGAACGAACTGAAGCACCCATTTCCGGGCAGCATATATGGACGCCGAACAGAAGTATATATGTTCTAAAGTGTATCAGCCTGATCAATCTAGGTCCACTGGAGCCCCCCGAGGGCTGAGGAACATGGAGGTTGTCGCCGTGCTTGCTTTGAGTAACCATTACAAGGAATATACAGGAACCCGGCTGTGCTTTAGTGGGAGATATTCTGAACAGGAGATGAGTGGCAATTGTCTTGAGGATGGTAAGTAAGGTGACTTGCATCATGCTCTGGTATGTCTGAAGCCTACTGTCATCACTGCACAAAAGGAGCACATCACCTGGATTAGTTGCTTATCCCTCAACAGATTGGGGCAGACATACACATAATTAACCTATGATTTCTCTCAACAAACTGCGCAAGTGGAAGCACAAACTTACCCCGATTCTTATTTGCTTGTTGGAACCCGAGCCTCCGGCGTCACTTGTGCCACCCGTACCTCCCGGTCCAGCATTGGACTTATCAGCTGTTTTGTACATGCAGAGCAACAGAGATTTACACTAGCATGATTATCCAAGCTACGAATGAAACAACACACATAAAAGAAGAAAGTGTCATGCACATACCCCCTTTCATCCCGTACTGATTCTCACACCCTATGCACGTGCAATTTGGGTTACACCCTTTCAGTTTCTTCAAAACAAGAACCAACTAGCCTCAGTCAGGATCAGAGAAAGAATAAGCATGTCTAGTCTTTTGGAAAGGAGATAACCGTTCACCTTGTTGCAACCGCAGACTCTGGTTTTGCAATTTTTGGTTTTGCACGCGCACTCCACATAATCCTCGTCGGCCTGGAATAAGTGCAACACATTTGTTTCAGGTTCCTGGAAAACACCAGAGTAGCACGGTGTTCATGAATGCAGTGCCCTCTAACGAATATCTTACCAGCCAATTTGGGTTGTTCTCGCAGTCATAGCACTTGCAACGTCCCATAACGCAACTCAAACCCTCCCTGAAACATCTGCATTGGCTGCACGCAATATATCAGGCAACAGTTAGATGGCAGCTTTGGACAACTAATATACCAATTAACTACTAGTTGATTGGATAGATCTGGTTCAGATAATTCAGCCACTGTGTTTGAACATACCAGTTTAGGCATTTGGTAAAGCTGCAGTTGCACTTCACCAGCTCACCAACTGCCTCTGGCTTCGGCACGGCCGCAGTAAAAGAGCTCGGGGCAAGTGGATGTGGTTGAGCGATACCTTGGGCAGTAGAAGAGCTCGGGGCAAGCGGTTGCGTTTGAGCAGTATCTTGGGCAGCAGAAGAGCCAGAGGCAACCGTTGGGGTGGTACCTTGGGCAGCAGCCAGGTTGATTGTTCCAAGAGATAAGCCGTTCTGGCAGTCACCACCGCAGTTGCATCCCGAATAGCATAACTCAATCCCTATTAAACAGTCACAAGTGCTGCACATAACAAAGCAATTAGCCTTAACCAGCTGACTGGATAGATCAGGTTCAGGTCATTCTAAGTGTGTGCGGTTGTACACATACCCTTGGAAACACTTCTTTGGGGGGCAGCTGCAAGTTGTCCGCGACATTGTGGACACCAATGACGAGGTATCTCTGCAACGCGATGCATAATTTTATAAGTATGTAGTATCGAACAGATGGTACTTGATTGGGAGATAAATCGATTCAGTCGATCAGCTGTAGTTTTTTTTTGCCCGTAAAACAAAAGTAGTACAAATCAAAAGTGAAGAAAAAGAACTGTTTCTGTTCCGCTACACAATTTGTGAAGGAGGCACCAACTTGCCAACAATTCGCCATTGCAAAGGAGAACAACTTGTTTAAACAATTAACTAGAACTAATTCTGGACGACACATACCATCGACATTCAGGTTCAGCCTTCATCATCACAAAGCAGCAAAGCATCGAAAGCACATCAAGAATCTTTCTTGGGAACAAACAAAATAGTAAGTACTAGTATACTCCATGCAGTAAGTTAATTCCAACAGAACATCCCACAGCACAGCTCATCTTACAGCAGTTTGCATACAAGTTGGGCTAGGCAACTCACTCAAAACAAGTCAGGTGAAATTGCATGCCATTCAGTAAGAAGATCACCAGAGCTCAAACAATCAGCTGCAATATCTTCTCATAATACAGTAACGGACAAAATAGTCGTGGCACCATTAGCAAGCATTCACGAACCACGCCAGCAACTAACTCAAGTAAACTATACATTATAGCAGATGAACCAACTAGTACTTGACTAATTAACTTTGTGGAAGCAACTGAATATTGACACTCAGCAAGGGGAGAGATAAATATAACGGGTTCAGCAACCAATTTTGCTCAGAAACTAAGAAAATCAGAGGGATTTTTTTCTGAGAATGCGCTAACAAACAAACAGTTGAGTTGGTGGCACCATTAACAATCATTCATGAATTACACAAATAACTAAGAACCCAAGTAAACTATATATTATAGCAGATGGATCTCAATATCAGCAGATGCAATAAATACATATGGTTTAGAGCAGGAACCAAGAAATTTAATAAAATGAAATAGTTCATTAATTATGCATCCAAGTGCGCCATGCCCATAGAATTTACAGACTATACTCAACAATGAACTAGAACTAATCCGGGAGAACACAACGTGCGCAATCTTGTCTAGGCAGCAAATACATGCATCCACCTACACGGTTGGCGTATGAAATAGGCCAGCATTTTACACCATAGGTTGTATTCTGCATTCAACGCAATGCAAGACGAATGTCAATCAAAAGAAGATGAATGCTTGCCTGGAGAATCAGAGCTATTAACTTTGTGAAAGCATCTGTATCCTAGAAAACACCCAGTACTTAACACTCAGCCAAGGTTGATAGATATATAATGGGTTCAGCAACCAATTTTGCTCAGAAACTAACAAAATCAGAAGGATTTTTTGCTCAGAATACCTTACAAACAATACAGTAGGTGGCACCCTTAGCAAGCATTCATGAATCATACCAGTAACTTAGAATGTGAGTAAACTAGCAAATGAATCTCAACATCAGCAGGTGACTCAGGTACAAATGCATCCGAATGCAGGAAATACAGAGTCTATCATCACAAAGGAACATCACACAACACAGCTCACCCTACAGCAATGTGCACACAAATTGGGTTAAGCAACGCACTAAAAACAAGTCAAGTGAAATAACATGCCTCTCAGTAAGAAGATCACCAGAGCGCAAGAAATCACTTGCAATATCTGCTTGGAATAAAGTCACAAACAAAACAGCCATGGCGCCATCGGCAAGCATTCATGAATCGCAACAATAAGTAAGAATGCAAGCAATATAAATACTCAACAACGAACTAGAACTAATTCGGGAGAACACGCGCTCAATCTTGTCTAGGTAGAAAATACATGTATCCACCTACACACTTGGCATATGAAATAAGCCAGCATTTTACACCACCGTAGGTTGCATACTGCATTCGACGCAATGCAAGATGAATGTCAATGAAAAGAAGATGAATGCTTGCCTGGAGAATTGAAACTAATTAACTTTTTGAAAGCATCTGTATCCTAGAAAACACCTAGTACATAACACTCAGCAAGGGTTGACAGTTATAATTGGTTCACCAACCAATTTCTCAGAAACAGTTGGTGGTACCATTAGCAAGCATTCATGAATTATACCAATAACTAAGAATCCAAGTAAACTATATATTATAGCAGATGAATCTCAACATCAGCAGGTGACTTAATTAAAAATGCATCCGAATGCAGGAAAGACAGAGTCTACCATTGTAAAGGAACATCACACAACACAGCTCATCTTACAGCGATGTGCACACAAATTGGGCTAAGCAATGCACTAAGAACAAGTCAAGTAAAATTGCATGCCACTCGGTAAATAGATCACCATAGCACTAATTAATCAGTTGCAATATCTGCACGGAATACACTAACAAGTAACAAACCAATACAGCAGTGGCAGCTCCCCTGATCCATCCAATATCTGCTCGGAATCACAACAATACAAGCATCATTGCCATGATTCACGAATCACTGCAATAACTTAAGGGCTTAAGTAATATGATACTACCTAATGACTAAGAACAGAACAGCCCGGGACGCGAATCCCGTCTAAAATCCCGATCCCGAATCCCGGCCAAAATTTGCAGAAACGAAATGTCCGGCAGAAATTCGCAGAAACATTCCCGATGAAGAACAGGTCACCGCACAACCTTCCCGGCCAAAATCCCAACCCCAGATGCGAACGTACGCCGCGGAGCGTGCGGCGCCCGACCGGAAACGCGTGATCCCGTCCTGCCGATTAGCTGATGACTAGTAGCAGGCAGGGGACTGCGCTGCTGCGGGGGTCGGAGAGGGGGAGGGAGGTGGGGGCGCGCGCTTCTCACCTGCACCTGCGGACGTGCGGAAGCGGGAGGAGAGGCGGATTCCGCGTCGCCGGAGAGGAGGAGCGAGGGGGCGGCGGTGCCTGCGGCTGCGACGAACAACGGAACGGGGGGAAGAAATGCTCGTCAGCTCAACGGAACGGAACGGTTGGGGAAGCACCAAACCCTAGGCGGAGGAGGCGGAGGGGGAGGGGAGGGGCGAGAGGATGCCAGCGGCTCACCTGCGGGCGGAGACGCGACCGACGCCGACGCCGACGCCGGCAGCGGGAAGGAAGCGAAGCGAAGCGAAGCAGCACCGCCTCCTCCGCTGCTCCGCCTCGGCTATAAGCCGAACGAAACGAAAGGAGGAGCCTTGTGGGTTGGGCTGGGCTCGGATTCCCAGCCCAAGACTGGCTCAGCCCAAGACTGGCTCTTCCTTATCTCTCAAAAAATTGCCCTAAAAGACTCTCTCAAAAAATAAATCCAAATCCTAAGTTTTTTTCAATTTTTAAAATTTGAATTATTACATTAGAGTGAATTAAAAATTATTTAGAATTTCTGTGATTGATTGAATTAGAGTGAATTAAATCCAAAGTTTTAGCTACTGGTGACTAGGAGTTGATTGAACTGATTGATAATGTGGCTCAAAATAATTCCAGTGACTAGGAGTTGATGATTGAATTGATTGATATTGTAGTGACTAGGAGTTGATTGAACTGATTCATCTTAGCTAGTGGTGAAATTCCGGTGAGCTACTCCACCCCGAGCCCCGACCTCACCATCGCCCAGTACTCCAATATATAGCCTCAGCCCTCTCCACAAAAAGAAACTCTCTCTGGTAATACAGTTCTATTAGGTAATAGAACTGAATGGCAAAAAACGCTTTCTGCTGAACTCGTAGATCTTCGTCTCCTGTCTAAGAGCATCCGAGTTGTTAGATGACTAGACCGTTTAGCATCAACTTCCAGCGGACACCGATGTTTAGAGTGAGATGGAGGAGAGGGTTGCAATTATCACTCTGCCATGTAGGCGATGTCCGCCGCCACTAGCCAAGCATGTCTTTCTTTTCTAGTCATATTATCCCCATTGTGGTTTACATTTTGGAGCATTTCGGTCATGACTCACCATTCAAAGTTGCAACACCATGCAAGGAAGAGTGATCACCGCCCGTGCTAGCCTCGTCGTCGGTTCAGCTAGAGAAATCGGGAATGAAAAATGATAATTTTTTAACGGACATGGGGGAAGAGGTTCCCCACCTGGATATATTACTCCAATCAAACACAATAGTATCCATTACATGAGAGCATCAAGGCGGGAGGATAGGAATAACGGGCAAAACTTGGCAATATCCCCTTTTTGCTAAGGCTTTTAACTGTGTGGTCCATAGGGAGAAACCATGCACAACATTCCAAATAGTGATTCAAGATTAAAAAAATGTCGGAGTTGAAAACCATGGTGTTTGTTGAGTTCTATATATTCCGCAGAATGATGAGATCCACCCATGGTCAGATGTTGGGGTTGAGGCCAGGGGTGAGCGGACGTCATGATGATGTCCGTGCGGGATGGATCCACAATGCCGAGATTCAGCTAAACCTGAGCAGCTAGGGGACAAAGAAGTGTTATGTGGGAATTAAACATCCCCGTAGAATCATAAGGGGCATCAACCATCCGGCAAGGGTGGTGAGCGATCTCATATCAAATATCATATCTCGCAGCGAGGGCATGAAGCTGAGTCGACGATGGTATTTTGGTGGAGGTTGGCTAGGACTGGAAAAGGTAGCCTAGAAGATCTTGTAAGCATCTAGTGTTTGATGCTCGAATCCTTGCCGGATAATAAGCGGGATGGCCTTCGAAATGTGAAAGTGTGTCTTCATCGGGCGGTGGCATGCCCCCAATGGACTGCTATGTTCCCACAATGCAAGGTCCAACATGTTATTTCCTCCAGGTCAGACCATTATCCTTTGTTTATTCAGTTGATGGGTATTCGGCCTAAGGTCGTTATTAACAAGCATTTGAGATATGAAGCTTTTTGGGAGAGGGAAAGTATGGCTTTGGATGAACATGTTAGGGTGTTTCGGAGCAATAGTTTGCAAGTTAGGGATTTAAAGGATGTGGCGACTAATCTCAATAAATTAATGAAAGACCTGCACTCCTGGAGTCAGGAGCATATTGGTTATCTCCCAAAAAAGATGGAGGCTGCTCG